GCGCAGCCCGGGGCCCGCACAGCGTCCGCGGGCTCCTCGGGGCTCCCCCCGCCGCCCAGGTCTACGCGCCCACCGGCGGAAAGGAGAAAGGAAACAACGTACTGGTGGACGTCACGCGAAGAGGGGGCAGCGGTGGGTGGACAGCTGGCGGATCTGACGAAGATCGCTGCCTGCTTACACCGTCCACACCTACAGAGTTTGTCTTCCACAGGGCGCTAGCTGAGGAGGCTGTCTGAGCTGCACACGCACGCACACGTGGGCACACGCACGCACACGTACGCACACGCACAGGCACACAACAAAAACAGAAACAGAACACCGCATTATTGACCCTCTCCCTCGTAACACGGCCAGAAGGGCCCTTCTAGAGCCACGTGCAGACCTCGGGCAGAGGCTGACTTAAAAATTCTCATCTCTGGTACCTGGAAGACAGATACCGATACACACCAGTCGGATGATGCTCCTGGGGCTGGTTTTTGCAATTTTACTGGTTTCATTCTCAAATATAACCTCTGTTTGAAGGAAATGAGTACCTGCAGTGAGCACTGCACTCAGGTCTGGAGCCTCAGCACCTCTCCCCCACCCATCAGGTCCTCCCCCGGCCTGGGGCTCATGGTCTTGGGGGGGGGGAAACCTGTCCTCAGATGGAGCACATGGGGAAAGTGTGCAACTCAAAGAGCAGGTGAGGGGCTCTCTCCTCCTCCTGCAAACATATTTCTGGCTAGAAATCGGCAGAGGTGACACCAAGCAGCTCGGGGGACACAGCAGGGAGATGACACGGCCCTGGTCACCATCCTTCCTCTGCCCCACCGAGCTCGGTGCTCTTCCTCACTGGGTGGCGTTGGCTCAGGTGCGTGGGGACCCGTTTCTGAGGCTGTGCGGGGCTCCCATGGGGGCTGGGCCTGGAGCTGGAACGGGCCACACAGCACAGGGCAGGCCCGGGGCCCAGGGGAGCCTTCGCACGTCGGCCGGGGACAAGGTCTGCCTGGTGCAGGAACGACAATGCCAACTCCCTCTCCCAGGTGTTGTATGTGGCCTCCCCACTGGACCAGGTGTGGACAAGACTAGATGGAGACGGGGAGACACTCTGGGGGGCGGCAGGGGTGAGCTGCAATCGTGAGAGGAAGAAAGGAAACTAACCACCAGAATCGCAAGAAAGATAGGGGAAGAAAAAAGCCGAAACCCTCGCTCTAAGATGTTAGGAAAGCAAGAAATAAAGGCAAACAGCACCCATTCTCCCACAGCCAGCAGAGCAAGGACAGTCCTTCCGACAGGAGCACCCCATCAGCAAAAGCCAGGAGGGGGTGGAGGTGACAATACTAAAGCAAGCACCTGGCCATGGGAGAAAGATGGGGGAGCCAGTGAGAGGCCTCCAGGGACCCAACCACAGCTGTGCTCACCTGCCCTGGGCCCCCCAGCCGCTGAGAGGGTGACACCAAGGACGAGCAGCTGTGGGACCTGATCTTACAGCTCAGGGATCTCCCATCAAGCTGGATGTGACACTGCCTGGGATGTGGGCAAGGTGGGCTCGGCCGGGGAGGTGAGCAGGCTGGTTTCTGCGGCCTGCCTGGCACAGGGCCCGCTCTCCACTCTGTGACCCGGACGACAGGCTCACTGGCCTTCCCCGGGCCTCCCTGTGCTGTGTGGGAGGGTCTGCGACAGACCCAGGACAGCAGGGGGAGGGGAGGCCCAGCCACGTGGGAGCGCAGACCCACTGTGATGGCCCCCTACCAACTCCTTCCTCGGCCAGGCCACCTCCTCTCACCTACGCTCCCCTCCCAGGGACCAGCTGCCACACAAACGCAATCTGGGACTTAACTTGTGGCCACCGCAGCCCACAGCAGCCTCGGCGCCTGGATATCATGCCCCATGGGGGCTCCCGTCCTCCCTGGGCCCCCCCGAGACCACTGGCCACGGCTGGCCGCCCCAGCCCAGACCTGGGCTGGCCACTGGCTGAACCTTATGGCCAGCTGGGCTTCAGTGCTGGGCAAGTTACTTAACTTTGGGGGCTTCATTCTCCACCTTTATAAAAACAAAAACAGCACCTGTTGAGTCCCACTCACTGCCCTGTGACGGAGCGAGTGCAGCGAGCTGTGGCTCCCCGGCGCTGGTGGGGCCACGGAGGCTACTCTGTATTTTTACAATTTTACAACTGTCCCCAAGCTAGCATCTTTCTATGCTTTGTTTCCTGAGGACCACAGAGGTAAGAAGTACTCACAGGTACCACAAGCTGGCCAAGGGCAGGCAGGGGAGACACAAAAACGGAAAGAGAGAGGCAGAGGGAGGGCCGGGGAGCGGAGAAGGCAACGAGAGAAGTGCCAGAAAACAGCTTTCGGGCCAGCGTCAGGAGCCAGCCCACCCCTCAGACCCACCCGGGGAGCCCCGCATCCCCGAGTCACGCAGATGCCACACCTCCGCCCAGCAGGAGACCCCAAGTCAAGATGCTCTGCCACCGCGGGGCACCCTACGCACGCACCACGGCGCTCCTTCAGGCGGCAAGCAACGCACCCGCACAACGAACGGCCCCGAGGAAAAGCTGCCCCATGCCGGCCCCACGTCCCCTGGTGGGCGGCAGGCCAACTACAAACTTCCCAAGACAAAAGCCCTAAAGCACACCCGTCATGCAGGGGCTGGGCTGCCAAGAGCACGATACCTTTGGCCAGGTTCCG